CGCGTGACGCTTCCGGGGATATTAACTTCTGCCGTTTATTAAAACCTTATTTTTAAGGAATAATCATACAATATTTATTCGAGTGATTTAATTGTAATATTAAATCCCCTTTATTTTCCAAAAATAACATTTATTTAATTTTCATTAATTAAAAGATAAATTAAATGAATGTTTTATGCCTTAAAAAATGTAAATACACAACACAGAATTTCTGAGGGAAAAAATCATTAGGCTATTGTAAGAATAAATGAAACTTGTTTTTATGCTTTCAAATAATCATGCATGTTAAAACACAGAATTTGGTAACAATAAAACATAAGGTTGGAAAAAATAAAACATTTCATAGGGCCCTCAACATGTACTTTTTTTAAAACTTTTGATAAATTGATGTTAAATTGTTTAAGTTTCATGATTTTAATTAATTAGACATGTTTTTTGATTAATAAATTTTAATTTAACCATTAAAAAGGAGTCCAGAAAAATTACCATTATCTCATAATATTAATTATGAGATAATGTGCTTGTTAATGATCATATGAATTGAAAGTTTAATGACATTTGTAAGCATTTCAATTTACATGAAATAATGATCTGTTAATCATTAGGTAATGTTTCATAAGATCATAAGTTAATAATTAGTAAGCATTACCAAGCATGTTATCTCATATTTCCAGCTATGTGAATATATATTAACTAATGATCTGTTAAGCATTATATAACGTTTATTAAAGATTTATTAATGAAAGTTATTATGAAGTGTTACCTAAATGGGTTTGTTTCTTCATGGAAGCAGATTTGCTCAGCAATGGATGCTCTGCAGTGAATGGGTGCCGTCAGAATGAGAGTCCAAACAGCTGATAAAAATAATCACAATAATCCACAAGTAATCCACAGCACTCCAGTCCATCAGTTAAAGCTGCATGTTTGTTAAAAATGAGTTAATTACTTTCTCCACTAAAAAAGATTGTTTGAATCAGGAGAGAAATATGCAGATATCAAGCACCGTTCACCGTTTGTAGTGAAAACAGTCCAAAGCAGTTCTAAACAAATTTGTCTGTGGATTAGTCTCATTTTGATGTGAGAGGGCAACAGAAGATGGACTTTTTCTACTGGAGGAAGTGTTATTACGGATAGAGGATTTGTATTTTAGCCAGAAGAAACGGTTTGAAGCTAAAAACGCTCGTTCTGTCATAGTTCTTTTGTTTTGCTCTTATTCTACCGTTATCTAATATTCTTTCTTTCATTCTATCTCATCCGTCATTTGTCATTTCTATCATTTGATTATTTTTCTATATTTTTCTCTGTCTTCCCATGTGTCATTCTTTCTATCATTCTATGTTTTTTATATTTCTGTCATTATTTTTATTCTTTCCTCCTATCTGTCATTCTGTCTATTATTCTGTCAACCATTCTGTCATTTTTTTGCTTAAATCTGTCTGGCATTCTATTTGTCATTCTTTCTGTCTATCCATCATTCTATCATTCTCATTTCACTTTTTGGAACCTCTGACCCTTTCTGAAAGCACAAGGTCATTTGTTATTTATTCAGTTCAAACACAGACTGTGTAATCTGTCTTTCTCTCTCTCTCTCTCTCTCTCTCTCTCTCTCTCTCT